TTCAAAAAATAGTGAATTGGCGCATATGGAAAATGTATTAATTTCGAAAGATGATGAATTGAAACGAATGAAAGATGATTTAGCCTTGAAAACTTCAGAGATACACTCTTTAGAATCAAAGTTGCCGTTAGAATCAGTCAAGATCGGCGGTGAGACAGATAAAAAAAATATACCGAATTCCGCTGATATCTTTGCAGTTAATAAACCTATAATGAATATTAGTAAATATTTACGTAAAGATATTATATATAAAAATAGCAAAGCTAACATGACTAAAATGCCAGAAGTAAATTCAGAACGATCCAATTTAATAGGCGATACCGATTCTTCATATAAAGATGATACATCACAAAGTATCGAGTCAATGAAGAATATGAATCCTGAAGGAAATGTATCTCCGCAAGTTGAAAAAAAGATAGACGTTCCCAACTCCTCTTTGGATAAATCGAATTCCGTGATTTCAATGGGAGGAATAGAAGCAATTCCTGCTATGACAAGCGTATTAGGTTCACCGAAAATTCCATGGATGATGCTAAGTTTATTAATTATTGTCGTTATATTGCTTAGATTTATTCGGCCTATTTTGAATGCAAATAAAAAAAGCGAAAATTTAAAATATGCACAGATTCGGTAAATGAATATTACGAACTATCTATTAAACTTGGGAATTATTATTGAATGAAAAAAATATATTAAGATTGTCAACCTATATATTAATTATTAAGTATTCTTAGTAGAATTTGCCGATCCAACTAAGATATACTAATAGTATTAATTAGCCGTGCTAGCTTCGCTATTTTTTATATCGTTTTGAATCAATTCGATTGCTTTACACCATGTATTTCTGAAATTATTAATTACTAGTCGTTCAGACTCCGATATATGAGGTAACATGGGTTGAGAAATAATCATCTCATTTTTTCTCATAGTCTCAGGTGTACCAATTTTTCCTGAATCTGATACGTGTTCTTTATACCGCATATGATAAACTAACTTATGGAAGAATGTATCGTATTTTTCGACGATTTTAATTAGCATTTCCAAATGTTTAACAAAATCAGAGCATATAGATTTTTTTTGCTTTAGAGACGTGTACATCAAAACTATGATCAGATTCAACTTCAGACGAGGAATCCCCAGAATCGGAGTTATTATCTGAAGAATCATTATCGGAAGAGTTTGTATCTGAACCCGAATCTACAGCAACCTTATTAACACTGCCTCTCTTTTTGGATCTACTCTTTCTATTTTTTCTGTTCCTTTTTCGAGGATATGGACACTTGCGAGAATTATGTCCAAGACTATAACAATTCGAACATCTATGCTGAGATGATACATTATTATCATGTACCGCTTTTATTCCCTGTGATATACCTTTGGCTATAGCCTTATTTATTGATAATTCTGACATACCCTTAGTAATTTCATCCATATCATCATTATTAGGAGTATTATTTTTCTTCTTGGGTAGAAAAGAGGAAATTTTATCCATTACTTTTTCGTAAACATCTTTCGCTACAGATTCTATAACCTGATTAGATGTAGGAGTTGGGTTTATAAGATTCGCATGGATATTTTTTTCAGAATATACACCATATCCGTCTGGTGGTCTTTCTGGCATATATTTATCTGGTACTCTAGGGTAATCAATAGGATCAGATTGTTTCTGCCTAGACTGTAGAGCTTGTGTTTTCTGAAATTGTGTAGGCTGAAGGGAAGTGGTGGGTACTACAGCTAATTCTGATTTTATCATGCTTTTTATTTCAGCTCGTATACTATCATTATCTGATTGCGATTTATTTTGTAATTGGTGTGAATTAGTTTCTAGCTGAGAAATTGTGGGTGGTAAATTAATAGCTGAAACTTGATTGAAATTTGACCCCCCATACAGGTTTGGAGTACGTTCTAACCACATATTTTTTAATGCAATGAAAAATTCGTCAATACCTGCTGGAGCATCGGATCTCATCCAAGTAAAAAGCTCACCTGGTAATTGACTTTTAAGAAATCCCAAAACTTGAGCATCATCATCGGCCACACCTAACAAAAGAGGTCGAATCCTAGTTTCATAGGTATCTGGGGTATCAAAGGGTTGAAATCTTTCTTGAGTTAATCTTTGAATTGCAGATTGTTTAGTCCCAACTGTTTCTCGTTGATATTTTGTTCTTGCCCATGCTCGTAAAGTTGCTGGAGAATTAATAGCGGGATTATTGTGAGTAAAGGGGTCATTAGCTGGTACTGGAGCATATTTTCCAGCCATCTTGGATTTTAAGATAGTACACTTAACTGCATCATCGAAATCTCCTGCATGTGCATTTTCAAGAACTGTCATATGTCCCTCAGCAAATGCCCATGATTGTACAACCTTATCCAAATAATCATCAGGTGGTTCTTGACCAATATAGGGTGGAAAGCTTGCAAGAGCGGGTTGTATTAATTTTAATACTGGTAAACGTCTATCATCTGCCATGTTTGGATTATTTATAGGTGGATTATTTTGTAAATGTAAAATTTGTCCACGTAAATTTAAAATTAATTGCTGATCATCATGTGTCTTATTTTTCCACTTTATATATCTATCATATATTTGATCACGCCAATATTCCAACATAGCTCCATGATTATGACACCTTTGTAATTCTTGTTTTAACCGGTGGGTGGATACTTTATAAATAATTTCAAGAATACGTTTGAGTTTAGACTGATCCTCCCATACTAGGCTTGCATTATGCCACAATTGTCCACGCATATCATATTTTTGTTGCAATTCTCTACCATGACTTTGGCACCTCCGAAGTTTAAAAATTAGTGCAAACTTATCAAGTAATAAAGTATTAATCCGCACCTGCATTCCTTTTTCCAATTGTTTAGCTACCCTCCACCAATGACGACGTTCTTCCCGTTCATTATAATAAGCTGTAGTCATCAAAGCAAGATCATTCTGAGAATTGTTACGCTCTAGTGTAAGTTGGTTAACATGATTTTGTAAAGCAATATTTTGCTGTCTAAAATAATTGACATCTTGCTGTAATTGTACTATTTGAGCATCTCGAGCATCTCGTTGATTCGTAACATCATCTAAATCCTGGTCTATTCTTTGATAATTAGCCCGAATAGTATTTAAAGTGCCATACATACCTTGGATGATATTGGCAGGATTATTTAATGGTGTACCCCCCGTGAAATGGTTTTCAAGTCGATTTAATCCTCTAGTGATATTTATAAAGGGATCTATATGTGCCATATCTGTATCTTCCTCTTCTGAATTATATAAACTTGGAGAGCTTCTTCGAGAAGAAATAACTTTAAACCTATGCCTTAAATTTTGAACCCGCTCTTCTGATTCTTGTAATTGCTTCTCTATATTATCGGTATAGGATATCTTATCTCGGATTTCCTTTTTAGCTTGATATAAGCTTCTTTTAAGGGACAATATCTCCGATCTCAACTCCGCCTTTTCTTTCTCCGAAGCGTTCTCGAGCCGTTCCAGTTCTTTATTGAGAGATTGGATTTCTTTCTCACACCGGGTGTACTTACATTCCAGATCCTTTATATATTTCTCATTCGATTTGTTGATGGCTACCTCTGATTGCAATATCTCCTGGAGTTCTTGGTTAATTTGTTCTAGCTCGAGTTCTTTATCCGTAGCTGATCTATGAGTTGATCGATTAGGGGGTCGGGATCTATGGAATGCCATGGTTATTTTTTACGGCATATTATATCTTTCATAGAAAGGAGACTTTGTCTCTTGACTTATCTCTGACTTTGCTAAACATAATTTTTAGTATAATGAATAATATCGAAAATGAGTAAATTGAGCAAACCTATTATTAGAATCAATCCAGATGAGGAATTAAACTTAATATGTAAATTGCTTTTTTACCAATGTACTGGTTATCATTCCAATCCTCGAAAGTTATATAATGCTATCAGAGATAAAGGATATAATTTCCCGTATAAAAAAGTTCGTGAATGGTTGCATAATCAGAATGAATGGCAAAAATACGCTCCATCACCAAAAGATACTCCACGAGCTAGTTATGGTAAAATTCAAAAACCAAATTGTGTACATCAGTGCGACCTCCTATTTCTTACGCATGATCATTATAAAGGTAAAAAATGGGTAGCGGTGCTTAATATAATAGACGTGTCTAGCAGGTACAAAGAGAGCGTTCCTCTCACATCGAAGAAAAGTTCGGAGGTTGCAAAAGCATTCAGGAAAATTTATGATGATCCCAATAACCCTCTTACATACCCGACACTTCTACAATGTGACGGTGGTAAAGAATTCATTGGTGAAACTGCTCGATTAATGGAAACGCATAATGTCACAATTCGAGTAATTGGTGCTTATAGTCATCGTGGATTAGCTCTTGTAGAACGATTCAATAAGACGTTAGCAGAGATGCTTTATAAAATCCAGTATGCCGTCGAATCAATATCTAAAGATCATAAATTAATAAGAGAGTGGGTCAAGTATTTGCCAGAAGTTATCGATTACCTAAATAATTATCCAACACGTCTTATTAGAGCTCCTGGATCCTCGAAGTGGGGGTTAGCACCAATAAAAGCCATCAAATTAGAAAAGGTTGAATCTCGGCCATCCACAAAATATAAACGTCCTGTTGGGAAAAATGAGGAGAATAAGTTAAAGAAGGGTGATACAGTTCGTTACCTGCTTGCTAATGCGGAGTGGGAAGGAGGTATGGAGAATCAGAAAAGAGCCACGGATCCGGTATGGAGTCCAACTTTATTTAAAATTCGAAAAATTGTTGTAACGAAGAATGAACCAATTTTATATTATTTAGAAGGTGATGATGAATATGCTCCAAAGCGTGGATTTGTGAAAGAGGAACTCATGCACATAGATCTAGAAAAACTTCAGTATCCGCCCCAGAGTATATTGGAAGAAAACACTCGTTCCAGATCTATTAATTTCGTTCGTATTATTAATAAAACGTCTAAAGCCGAAGAGTATGCAAAGAAGCGTGACGGAAAATGTCTTGGTAAAACTGGCCAAATAAATGATTTCGATGTATATCTCTGGTCCTGTGAAAACGGGAAGCATCAGTTTGAGTATCCATTAGAAGTTTTAGAGCGGAAATTCGAATGGTGCCCCCTATGTCGACATAATAAAGGTGAGAGATCCGCGAGGTATATTTTTGAAGATCTGTTAGGTAAAAAATTTCCATCTTGTAAACCGTCATTTTTGAATGGGATGCAATTAGATGGATATAATGAAGAATTAAAATTGGCATACGAATTCCAGGGACCTCAACATTTTTCCGAGAATCCAATGTTCCATAAGCGAGGCAAGATAGACTTAGATGAGCAAAGGAAGCGCGATCAAAAAAAACAGGATATATGTGCTCGAGAAGGTATAGATCTTATTTGTATCCCGTTCGATTGTGATTTATTTCCGTACATAAAAAGCAAATTACAAGAGAGAGGTTATTTATCGTATAAGAAATAAACTCATAGGATAAATATGGCACATAGTAAACTTGACCCATGCGAGATCTTTGTACTCAATGTCGATGAGTATACAAATCCAGAACGTTTTAATGGTATTAACTCATGTCCACAGTGGCCTTTCAATGTCCTAGTATCAGGGCGGACTAGATCAGGGAAAACTAATATGATTATTAGTCTTTTACTTGGGAATAAAATGTTTCGAATGTTTAGTGGAAAAAAGGGTGGAACAAGATATATTAAGAATGATGACTTGGTTTTGTTCGGTCACCACCTTAAGGAGCCAAAATATAGACATTTGCGCGATTGTTACCGAATAATTTCAAATAGTCCAAAGCCATATCGTGAAGATATTACATTCCGAGCATTGAAACCTGACAAAATACCAAAAATAGAAGAATTCTCTCCCAAAAGAGGAACAGTTGCTATATTCGAAGATGTATGCAATGAACCCAAAAAAATACAAGATAGAATTATTCCCTATTTTACCGAAGGGCGCCACTCTAATATTAGCTCGATATATGTCACACAATCTTTCTTCGACTGTCCTGGAAAAATAAGAAAAAATTTGGATTACATTTGTTTATTTAATGGCGCGGGCACATATGATGAGCTAGTTAACATTGCCCGACGATATACAAAAAAATGGCGCGATGTTGTTGATATACTTGATAAAAATTTACAAGGTAGAGAATTTATTGTTATTGATTTGACTAGAGCGAAAGAGGATCCGCTCTATATTCGCAAAGGATGGGACCAACCTCTTGATCTTTCTATCTAATTGGATCGAGATTTCAGATATTCAAGGTATTTTTCAGCTTCTTGCAATTCTATCCTCTTTTCTTCAACCTTATATTGCAATTTCTTATTTTCATTAACCCGCTTTTCATGCTCTATAGTAATTTCTCGCATAAATTTACCAAAAGTTTCTTCATTATATGCAAGCAATCGCTGAAATAAAATATCTACTTCTTTCTTAACCCGGCGATTGATCTCCCCCTCACAAGGACACTTATGTGTCTGATCGCATTTACAGTTATTAGTATCTGAAGTTTGAATTTCTTGGTCAACCATATTTATATGTGTCTCGTCACTAGCTTTGTTATTATACGATAAATTTTCAAGTGGTTCAATAATTTGGATTTGTTTTTTACGCTTTCTATTTAATCCTTTCTCATATACCTCTAATGTATGGCACAAATAATTCTCAATTCGATCACATTTTTCAGAAATCCGTTCTGGGGTAACAGGAGACCTAGAGTGATATAAAAGCCTATGATACGCTCTCTTGACCAGACTTTTTGGAAGTTTCGCTATAATGGGGTTGTAATCAGGATGAAACATTGATTATTAGTTTGCGCGCAAAAAGTTTGCAGGCAAAAAATATGGAATATATATGAATAAGTTATATATTATTAAATCAAACAAATCGAATAAATAAATGTGTATAGCGGAGCTGGTGTCTCTGACACATAATAATTAATATATCTACGCTTCTATTTCTGAAAGTCGCTTTTGGAATCTAGACCGCAATTGACTCTTTTTAGAATCTATCCAATTATATGGAATATAATATTCTTCATATTCTCTTACATAAATATCCAAAGGAATATTTAAATTACATTGTTTATATAATTCAATCCATTTAGTACGCCACTGATTAAATTGTTCTTGAGTCTGAGGATTTTTTATTTTATGTCTCGTTAAACCTAGAAACTTTTCATCATCTGGAGTATTATCATTTGGTAAGCTATTCCATACAAGTCGCGCATTTGATGGTACTCTTCCTCGGAATCGTTTCCAAGCACTTTGTATAATTCTTGCTGAAGCATCCTTAGTTTTAGGTTTGGAACACTCATAATCCCAATGTTTCTGCATCAAGTCTTCTGGCTTGATAATTTCGACATATCTACTTCTAGCATAATGAAATTTCTTTGTTGGTTTTACATTATCAATATGAATAAGTTTCATACAATCTAGACATATCACTACATTTGCTTTATGGATTCTAGGC